TTTTTATTGAACCAAATATAACCGAATGAAAGAAATAGGCAAATTATCCAACTATATTTATGACGTAAAAAAGTATTAAACAGCATGTAAAAATACTGAAAGCCTTTTTTATAATGGAAGAGGGGATATCTGAAAAAGGGAGTTGGTCAGCATAATTTGGGTCTAACTGTAGATTGCCATGTATGTAAACTACTGTGCAGTCTGTCATTAGTAGCTATCTTAGGAAGATGTAGTTTTGCAACCTTTGCTCTTTTTCAATATTATGAAACATTATTTGTTGCTATTAACTCTTTGTTATTATTATTATTATAGCTAAAACAACTAAGGAATCATTTTAAAAATGTGTAATAAGAACAGAACTCAAAAATAGTCAAAGATTTGCTGAAATTATAAGGCTGATTTAATGCAAGTAATTACTTCATAGGAATCTAGAAGAAAAGATCTGGCATGAAAACTGCAACTGCTGCAAACTAGACAGGTAACATTATTGGGCTGCAATTTGAAAAAATTGTAGACTTGTAAATTCCCACTGTTGTCCATCTGTCTGTCTTTCCTTTATCTTGAGAATGGAGACAGACGAAAGATGAAAACAGATATGGAAACCTTAGGGGCAGAAGACTCCAATTAACTATATATGAACTTCCAATGTAAACTGAAGTCACTTTTTTTCAATTCAAAACTTTTCCCCTGAAAGGAGTTAATAGATGACTGGCATGACTCAATTGCTAAAGGAAAAGTATAATGTACAGGGGCAAGACACTGCTAATTTAAAGGTGGAAAAGATGATTAAAACTTGCAGCTCAGCATTGTGATGATTTCATAATAAAACAATTACTAATCAATTATGTTATTCAGGCTTCTCAAGCAGGATGCTTGACAATTTATCTCATTTAATTTATTTTGTTTTTGATATTCTTTTCTTTTTCAAAATTCTCTGGGTTTTTTAATATCTCTCTTTCAATATAAACATCTCAAAACCTGATGTTATTAATCAAAGCCAAACAATATATTACGACAATTGTTTAGCTTTCACTTCTCTTTCAAAATGATAATGTTTGATGTTGTTTGCCAGAATACTATCTAAACTGTAAACAATCTTATCTGACAAGTTTAAAGATGCAAAGAAACCCTACAAAAACAACGAGACTGAAAATAAGCATAGTATTTTTTTTAAGTGACAGTTAAAAAAACATATAATCCATTGTGTTATTTGCATTATGTTTAACAGAATTTTTAGAAGACATCAAAAATAAGACAATTTTTTTTCTATTGTCTACAGAAGGAAATCTCCATTTGATTAATGTAAGTATACATCAATAATCATAACTATGTCAATATTGGATATTTTATCAATTGTACAAATATCCATCCATTAAATCTGTGCTCACTAAACTCAGGTTTCACTAAGATATAAAAGACAAAGAAAATGAGATTGCATTCTTGGATCTAAAAATTGTTAGGGCAAAGTCTATCTACAGCGGCAGGGAATCCCGATGGGCTCACCGCTTTCAGTGATCTTGGAAGAGTTGGTCATCAGGTTTCACTAACACTTATAACTACAAAATAAATACTTAAACAATATTAAAAACTAATTGCAGATCTAATCTAACAATTTACAGATTACACTTTTTATTTATAAGATGAATCAATATTATATTAATTCAACAATATATTTAATTTTTAGCAATGAATTATTTTTGTTTCACCCAATTCTCTAAAATACATTGACTTAAGCTTATTCAAACTTTAGAATTTTACAATAAATAAAAGAGAAATCCTATTACTAATAAAAATTTTATATTTTTGACTTATAACAATTTATAATATTTAATATGTAATTTAAAATAATCTAAAATGAAAACCCAACATGATATCATTTCTACCTGTATATCAATCTCTGAAGGTTTTCGTGGTTTAATTCTTGCATCTGCCAGTACTTCACTAATATCTTGTCTATATTTCTGAATAACTTCTGCCAATGCCCACATATGAGTGTGCAATAACATTTTTGCCAATGATGGCATTACCTGTTAATAAAAAGTTATTATATATTAATTTAATATATATTATTTATTCAGTTTTATTTTATTTTATTTATTTTAGTTTGTTATTTAAATATAATGAATTTTTGCAAGTGATTTCTATCAAATTTCATTTATAATACCAAAGGAGCATTAGCAAATTCATATAATACATTCAATGGATAAAACTTTTTGATATGCCACAATATTTCTTGCAAATTCTGTTAATCATTCAGAATTTAATTGTTCCATTAATTTGAGCAAAAATCTAGATAGAAGTAATCCCTTTTTAATGTGCATTCTCATTGCATACCTTACTAAAATGTAGTTAAAAACAAAAAATCACATCTAAAATAGTACAGCAGAAGCCATTTTTCAGGTTAAGCCTTAATCCTCTCCCTCTCCTCTGCAGTGAGATTTCAAAAAAATCCCTTCTTAGTATGCATTTTCCCGACATAACCTAACTGTGTACCAAATTTCATCTCTTTAGGTTTAGTGGTTTGCTCTGGGCGATGATAAATCAGTCAGGACATGTAATCTATATATATAAAAATGAATGTGTGTGTATGTGTGTGTGTCTGTCTGTCAGTCCTTCATGCATTACCACACCGTTTATCCGATTGCCGTGAAACTTTGGGAAGTTGTTTAATATACTCCCATGAAGGTTTCTGGCATTTATCCTACGATAGATGGCACGCGTTTACATGAGCATTCGAGCAGTGTGTGTTCGATCGATTTCAAATTGTGAAGACCATTTCCCCCCTTCAAAAAATATCTCTATATAAGCATTTGTGAACTGTTATTTACGATATTTGTAATAATTTTTGTTTAATCACTTTATTTCAACTTTTTTTTGCTAATTATGTATTCGCTTGAACTTCGTTAAAACCTTAACTGTACCCCGAACAACAACCGAAGTTGTAGGAAGAAATTCGCATATTTTACCGATCTAGGTATCCCCNAAACCCTTGTCCTCCCGCGATGTCTATGAGAATGTCCCGGGAAATCCGACTCCAGCTGTGTTCAAGGTCATCCAGCTGTGTAAACAATAACTCATCGGTGTTAAATTTCGCAGAAAGGCCAGACAAAAAAACTTAGACTTTGAAGCTTTTTCTTCAAAATTAACGCATTTCTTTCGTTTTTTTTCAGTTTTAAGTATTTTTTATGCTTAATTAAAAATTCTAAAAAAATGGGCGGCTTAAAAGGGGTTAATGACAAACTAGTAGCAATGGCATGTGTAGACTTTCCTTGTGAGGTGGCAAGATGGAAAACTCTTCTTTTCCTTCTTTCACTTAGTGAGCTTGTTTCTGACCAGATTTATTTATTTATCCCACATTGATCAACTTTTTTAATAACATTTTGAATTGCTCCAATAGATCTGTTCAGAAGTGTTGAAGTTTGTCCATAAGATTTTCCTTGTCCATGAAACAAAAAGATTTTTCTCACTTCTTTTCCTTGTGGCATTTTGTAAAAACTTAAGTCAGAATGATACAATCATTAGCGAGGTTGCAGCCAAAGTTTTCATCTCTAAAACGTGAATGTCAAACATCAAGCACTGCTTACAAGATTGCGGCACACAATGTTCGATGTTCACGTTTTGGAGATGAAAATTTCAGCCACAACATCACTATTATATGAAAGAGGGTAAATGATGTCATTTTAATTTATATATTGCTTATTAAGTACATTCAATTATATGATGTAATACACACACTGTATGTATAATTATTTTACAAATCTGGTTGCAATTTTTATATTAATTCATCACTCAGAAATTTGAATATTTTTATTATGAATATGATGTATTTGTGAGCAATTATTTATAACAACGAGCTTATTAATTGTTAAATTGATATAATAAACATTGTGTAAAGTTATACACAAATTTCAAATGTATGTATAATTTCTTTACAGACCTTATTTTTATTATATTTGAAACTATAATAAGAATAAAAAACATTTGATACACTTGTAACAATCACTTTGTATTAACATAAAATTTAATATATTAGCTGAATTGGCAAAGTGCAACTGAGACAAGGTAAACTTTAAACATTTTCTCAGTTGCTGTCTATTCAGTTGAAGAAATTCCATGAAGAGAGAGGAGAAAAAAATCAGTTTCAAAATGCATTTCTTAATTTTTGTTTCAGTTTAAAAATATTCTTTTTACTACTTTTTTCATGTTTGGGTAAATTTTGTTTTAAAAGAAGGACTAATAATATTTGTTAATTTCGTAATGATTACATTAAAAATTATTAAGAACAGCATTATCAGTAGAGATAATATCAATTAATTAAAATCAAAACCCTTTTGTTTAATATCAATTCTTGTTAATTTTTTTCTATATATATTATATAAAAATATATAAAAGAGAAAGAATATTTAGGAAAATGCAATTAAGTACAAGTTTGACAGAATCACTTATAATGGAAATAAGTAAAATAAAATTTAGCAGAATAAATTCTGAATATTAATCTTGAAATGACGACTATCTAGATAAAGACAGACAAAGAATTAAGGAAACAGTGGATTCTAAAAGGAAGGCCTGGAAACAAACTGAAGTGGTTAGAAATTATATAACCCAGATAATTTTAAATTAAAAATAATCTATAATTATATCTAAACTATTAACACACTTATTAATTTGAAGTTCTTAATCTGAACTTAATTATAGAATGAATACTGAAAAAAATATATATATTTCAGTAAATTTCCATATTTACATCATTTTGGTTAAAATATCTGATATACTGAATTGTAAATAACTAATAAAAAGTCTACATGCTATATTACTTATTTTATAGCTACTGTACATTATTACCAGTCTAAAATTTGAGATTCATTTTTGTTATTCCAACTAAATCTCTCTTTATGAAATTATTTCAATTTCTTATAATATTAATAAAATTTAAAAATCATTTATTAGAATAACAACAATATTAAAAATAATTTATCAAAAAATAATGTACAATCATTTACCTTGACATAATCAGAAAAAGCAAACTGTTGATATCTTTCTCTCAGAGACGATTTATTTAATATACTCATAACAAAATCTTCTGGAACTAAAATATTGCAACCTTGTTGCATGCATTCAATACCTAAATGTGTAAATATATTACATTTAAAAAATTTTTAATTTTATTTTCAAATACTAGAAACTATAAAATTAAAATAAATTCTGATTAATTAATTAGATATATTATCTGTTTTTAAAATTTGACTTCAAATACAGTTGGTTTACCTGTTGTGACTCCTTGAATAATTTGGATTTCAAAATGCATAGACCAGCAATCTTTGCAAAATGAATGGCCACATGCTAAATTACGAAAATGATCTCCTGACATGAACTGAAGACAAGTGGTACATTGCACTGATGGATTACTACGTAAAGCCTAAAAAGACAGATATTTATTTTCTTATTATATATTTTGTCAACGTGGACATTAATAATTAGACAGATATTTAAATTGTAAATTATTGACTAGTAGTGCTAAATGTTAGTTACCCATTTTTGTATCTGGATATTCAAGTACTGAGTACACCCAGATATCTGGTAGACAGCTATTACTTAAATAATCAGAGTTAAATATTTATTTAAAAGATCAGATATGTATTCTAAAAAAATTGTAAATAAGCAAAATGATTTATTAAATCTTTTCTATAATTTAATAATTTTTAATGTACTGTAAGGTCTCTTTTTATGCAGATTATTTTTATGCAATTTTGAAGTTGTGCGGTTTGTATTTCATGCAAAAATTTCTTGACAAACATACATATAGGCTTGTTTAGGAAGCCCGCGTATAGACAGTCTTGAAAAATCGTGGAACGCTCAAAGCTCACTCCATTTGTTCCACTGATATATAACGTTTATGAATGTAAAGGACAGCTAGACCTACCTTAATCGCTTTAGTTCCTAGCAATTTTTCATATAAATGTAATTAAACATAAAAAATACTTAAAACTGAAAAAAAAACGAAAGAAATGTGTTAATTTTGAAGAAAAAGCTTCAAAGTTTAACTTCCTTTGTCTCGCCCTTCTGTGAAATTTAACACCGATGAGTCATTGTTTACACATCTGGATGACCTTGAACACAGCTGGAGTTGGATTTCATTCTCATAGACGTCGCAAGAGGACAAGGGTTTAAAGTAGGGTGAACACTAGCTGGCCGTATATTTTTAAATATTTTTAAAAAATTAAAAATTTTATTGCGATTTCCGACTCCCCCTAATTAATTAAATTTATATAAAATAAAATATATTAATTAAAAAAATTTAAAAACTATTGGAGGTTGTTTTTGACATCAGAAAGCAGCTTTAAATAACTTTACCGAAGTCAAATCCGTGCGCTACAACTTAGGAACCATGAAATAAATTTGATAAAAAACTCCCATTAAAAAACAATTAAGCCTTAATCGAGCCTTATCAAAGGCTCATTAAAATCGCGATAAAATTTTTTC